CTGCTGGGTGTAACTTCACTTTGAACAGCATCACTGGTGTGTCATCAGCGATCCCCAAACTAGAGCTCTGGGCTGGCTAATGTCAATTCTATGCAACTTTCATTGCAAAGAATGTCAGTTATTGGCTGAGAGCAGTCAGCTGACGCTCTTAGCCAATAAGTTGCAATGATCACGGTTTACGGCTTCAGCAGCTTTGCAGAAGTGCGTCAGTGGACCACCAGCGAGCATTGGAGTCTGACGAGGACCCAAGTAAGTGGACAAACCGTTCCTAAATGGTTTGCTGCTACATTATGGGGGAATCTTGCCAGAGTACTCCTGGAATCATAACCACTACAGCGGGCTAACCGGTCATTGCTACTTAGTTAAATAAAAAGCAGTTTAACAAAAGAAATCTATGCATTGCACTAATATTGTACAAGCAGAATTGTTGGCAAATGCATCCATTTTTAAATAAATTGAAATAAAAAAATAAATAAAAAATAGTCCTTCCCTTCACCTGTCAAACAATACGTAAAATTAATTCTGTGTATGTCAAAAATAGAATAAACTCGGGGGGTGTGGCCACGCGACGAACCAAGACGGACGTGTAAGCCGCGAGCTCCTGCCCATGAGACGGCACACAGCGATTATAACAGCGCCTAAAACCGCAAACACAAGCTCCCTTGGGTGGCTAGAGATCATGGCACACCGTGCAACAAAGAAACCCAAGCAAAAACCGGCAGACCTACTAATTTCAGCGCGTACCTCGCCGAGCAGAAAAATCCAAGATGGCGCCGACAACCCGCCCTCGCCGGCGTCCTGCTCTGATGGCAGTGATAACACATCTATCTCCACACATGCTGCTGTACCAGCAACTAACTCCTCCATTCAAAAGATGCTGGCAGAACTCAAAAGTTCCATGCAAATGGAGTTCACTAAATTGGCTAGAGACATCAAAGCCGACATCCACGCAATAGGTGAGCGAACTGCACACTTGGAAGACAAGACAGACGAAATCATAAGCGCACACAACACATTGGCTGATGCATACACCGACATTACCGCCAAACTAGATTTCTTAACGGACAAAATAACTGACCATGAGGACAGGGACAGGAGGAGCAACGTGCGCATAAGAGGCATACCTGAAGACGTATCCCCACAAGACCTGTCAAACTTTGCAACAGACCTCTTTCAAGCTCTGTCCCCAGAACTGTCATCACCTGAACTCCTCCTGGACAGGATCCATCGCCTGCCAAGGCCTAAAAACCTACCGACGTCCCTACCACGCGACACTATCGCTAAATTTCACTATTTCACGTCCAAGGACAAAATCATGAGGGCCTCAAGACTCCTTCCTGAACTGCCAGGCAAATATGCGAAGATAAAGATTTTCACAGATCTATCTGTGGCAACCCTCCTCAAAAGGAAATCATTGGCGCCCATCACCACAGCGTTAAGAAATGCTAATATTGTCTACAGATGGGGTTTTCCAGCCCGGCTCATGCTTAGAGGGAATGGCGTCGAAAAGCACATCCTCACAGTGGAAGAAGGCCACCGCATGCTCAAGGAATGGAATATACCCCATCCGACACCACCCAACGACGAGGTGCAAAATCCACCGAGACGTTCTCCTGCGCAAATATCCAGGGACTGGAATACAGCTAAGTGACTTTGCAGCACAATGCATGACCAGTTAGTACGGCTTGTTGCCAAACATATACACACGGGTTACTCCAAGTGTAACCCGACCTAAGTTACACCTCTATTCTACCGTAACTAGTTAGGGACAACGTTTCACTAACCCCCTAACACATGACTGGGCATTCTCCCAGGACCACTCAAGGGTAGCGTACACAAGAGATTTATTCACGTTACACAGAATCGCTACACCCGCACCTAGAGTCTCACGCAGGTCACCACTAAGACCCCCACCAGGCCAATAATGGCCTCCACTATGCCGTTTGTACCTCTCAGTACCACCCTCGACGGCACTCTGTATATAGTTCAAACTGTTATATCGTTTATCATGTCTATGTCTTGGTATGTTTATACTATGTCACAAGTGTCACACTCTACCACAACCTACCACCTACCCATGACGCTCCACAAACGCACACCACTGTTGCTGTATGCAATCAAAACCCACAACGCCTCTACCCGCACAGACAAAGTCACTTTTTCGAGCTGGGGCCATTTTCACCACACCATAATATGGCCATACTCAACAAACTCTACCACACAAACTACTAAGCGTAATGTAATGCTCATCTATGAGTTAGATGGGAAAGGAAACAGTAAAATAAATGGCTCAATGACCTACGTAGCAGACTTCCAAAAACCTATAAAATGACCCTCACAATTGTATCACTAAACGTAAAAGGTCTGAACACACCCCACAAACGAAGACTAGCGCTGGAAGAAGCCAAAAAATCGAAAGCCCAAATAGCTTTCTATCAGGAAACCCACTTTAAGTGGGGGAATAGACCCAAATTCAATTCCGCCCTCTACCCCCATGACTTTCACTCATGCTACAAATCAAAAAAAAGAGGAGTAACCACTCTCATAAGCAAGGATGTATCCTTCACCCTAGTGAAAAAAATTGGCGACAAACATAGCAGATACCTAATCATTCAATGTTATATTAATAACAGCCCATATACATTGGTCAATATTTATGGACCAAATGACAACCAACATGAGTTTATAACTAAAATATTTAGCTTACTCTCATTATACAGTTTCGGTGATACCATAATTGGAGGCGACACCAACTTCCTGCTGAATACCTCCATAGACACATCAGCATGCCATTTAACCCCTGCGAAATCGACCAAACAACTAACAACCCTCACCTCTAAGATAGCCCACATCATCCGCTCACACGACTTTATAGACCCATGGCGGATATTTCACCCCACAGATAGGGACTACACATTCCACTCTGCAGTACACAATACATACACTAGGATAGATAGATTCTTGCTACATACTAATTATATAGACAAAATTCAGTCAGCAGAAATAGGCCTAATAACATGGTCAGACCATGCCCCTATAACACTAACCATCCAAGAAAAATATACATCCAGAGGAAAAGGCACCTGGAGACTGAATGACACCTTGCTTGCAAACCAAGACACAGCAGCCAGCATACAGAGCGACATAGAAACATATTTCAGAGAAAACGCACTAGAAGACACAAGTATAGAGACATTATGGCAAGCACACAAGGCAGTCATTAGAGGCACGATTATTAGAATAGCTAGTTACCAACGCAAACTACTATATACAAAACTCATACAAGACATCGCAGATCTCACACACAAAAATAAATTACGACCATCTAAAGACACACACATGCAATTAAATGCACTACATAAAGATCTTCAACAGTTAGAACTAGAGAAAACCACCTACCTATTGCAGAGATACAAACATAGATTCTTTGCCACTGGAAACAAAGCGGGGGCCCTACTAGCCACGCAACTCAAAACTAGGTCGTACACCTCAAAGATAGCGCATATACAGAATTCCAAAGGTGGCAAAATAACCAACCCCCAAGACATAGTAAACGAATTCGCAACCTACTATAGTTCCCTATATAATCTTAAAGATGACCCTCAAACAAAGCCTCCCTCCCCTCAATCTATTAGAGAGTTTCTACAAACTATAGATGTCCCTAAACTACAAAATGAGGATATCGCGACTCTCACCTCCCCCTTTACAGTAAGTGAAGTGGAAGAGATCATCCACGACCTTCCCAAACAGAAGGCCCCAGGACCTGATGGTTTCTCCAATTTATACTACCAAACCTACGCCAACCTTCTCGCACCCCACATGGCTAACCTATTCAACTCCTGTTACACCTCAGGGCAAATACCCAAAGACATGCTGGTAGCCCATATTTCGACACTCCCCAAACCAGGTAAACCGCCAACACATTGCCAGAACTTTAGGCCAATCTCCCTTATTAATGCTGATGTCAAAATGTACGCCAAACTCCTGGCTAATAGGCTATCCCGAATTCTACCCACACTTATCCACAACGACCAGTCTGGGTTCATCAAAGGTAGGCAAGGCTCTGACAACACGCGAAAAATTCTAAATATACTATCACATATGCACAAGTCCCAAACGAAGGGCCTAATCTTAGCCCTCGATGCCGAAAAAGCCTTTGATAGGGTCAATTGGATATACATGCAACAAGTCCTAAGCAAATTTGGTTTCCCAGAAAGCCTCATCACTGGCATTATGGCCCTTTACAATGATCCACAGGCAAAGGTATCCAACTCTGGCTTCCTATCCAAATCCTTCTATATCACCAATGGCACCAGACAGGGTTGTCCCTTGTCACCGCTACTCTTTATCCTATCGCTAGAACCCTTAGCATCTAAAATCAGACGCCACGACTCAATTACAGGTATTCCCATAAAGAACCACACGTACTGTCTCTCTATGTTTGCGGATGATATTCTGCTCACTGTAGAAAAACCCGAAAAATCAGTACCTGCACTACTACAACTACTACAACAATTTGGACAACTATCATACTACAAACTTAATCAGAGCAAAACACAAGCCCTCCCAATCAATCTCCCGAATGCATTACAGTCACAACTCAAACAAGCCTTCCCCTTCGACTGGAGATCTAATGATATTACTTACCTAGGGGTAAAACTCGGGTCGTCCCCCTCTACAATGTTCGACCTAAACTTTAAACCTTTGATATCACTCTGCACAACACACACCCACCAATGGAAAAATGTGAAGCTCTCCTGGCTAGGTAGGATAAATTCAGTTAAAATGATGCTACTTCCTAAGCTATTATACAAATTCAGAATGTTACCTATCTATGCTAGCCCACGATTCTACAAACACCTCCAGGCTATAATTTCCTCCTTTGTGTGGGAAGCACGCAGACCACGACTAGCTCTTTCACTCCTCCAGCAAACCCCACAACGCGGAGGCCTAGGCCTCCCAGATGTAGCTAAATACCACAGAGCATCACTCCTAGAAGCGGCAATTAAACTCCACGCCGCAAAAGGAACCTTCCAATGGGTAGATATGGAGCACGCCACCGCACCTGGTGGTTCCCTGATACCTATTCTATGGACGCCCCCGCATTTCCGACCACGCACACCCCACCTGTTCCACACCTCAGTCCTCACGTTGCACCAATGGGACACCCTTCATCACTCTAAGATCACAGCTAACAAATTTCACCCGAGAGCCCCACTAGCGGCCCTAAGCTCCCTGGCCCCAGGATTGACGTGGACCTCTTGGAAGAAACAAGGTATCACACACATAGCAGACACTTACCATGGCCAACAGCTCATGCCCTTCCCAGACCTCCAAAAGAAATATGGACTATCGAACTCTTCTGTCTTTCAATATCTCCAACTTAAAAGTATTGCGGCCCATAAAATCCTCACACAAGCAGATGTTGCACCCTATGACCACCACCCTCTAAACACCATACATGACAGATGTTGGCAAGCGCCCACCAAGCCTAAGTCTCTATCTCTATGCTACGCTTCACTACTATGTAACACCACCACCACACCCTTTCCTTATGAAAAACAATGGCGAGCAGAACATGCCTCTTCCCCATCGGGAGATGCATGGTTGCATTCTCTTAATGCACTTAAAGGGGTCACCAACTGCTACTCCCACGTAGAAACTCACAAAAAACTGATCTTCAGGTGGTACCTAACACCCAGTAGGTTACATAAAATCTACCCCATAGTCACAGCACAATGCTGGAGATGTGAAAACGCAGAAGGCACAATGATACACATTTGGTGGGAATGCCCTGTACTGACCCCGCTTTGGCGACATGTGAGCAGCGTCCTCAAATCTCTCAATGTTGAGAACATTGACCTCACCCCATCAGTTTGCTTATTCCTATTGTTCCCCGCTCCCCTACCCAAACCACTAAAACAAGTAGCAATACTTACCATAATGGCGGCCAGGAACCTTATTGCGACTAACTGGAAACAAAACACCTGCCCTTCTAGGCAACAATTGTTAGATAAAATCCAACTATACTATACATATGAACGTATGGCCACAACCACCCCCAGACAATCACAGGTACTACGAGAAACCTGGGCACCATGGGCTAATATATACACAAACCAACAGCATATGGCGCAACCTACCCAAGATTGCATAGACCAAGCCCCTCTTAGAACATCATAGGTCAATATCTAGAACAGAGCAACCTCTTCCTATCCGCAACAACTAGCTGCCAACTCTGAACGAGAGCTCCGCTCTGACATGGGTATATAGGGACTCACAGCCGTACAAACAGGCTCGAACTTTCCCCAGGGTAGATGACACACACTGACAACACACGCTTAAGTGACACCCCATACGGTATATTTCAACAAAGTTTGACAAGATGTGTTAATACTCCCGGTTATTAACCCTTCCCTTACACCCCTCGGGGCCAAAGTCCCACTTTTTCTAGTTGCCACCATAGACTGTATTTGAGAATCACCAACATGTTGTATGTAACGTGTAACCAGTTGTGTGAAATATTGAACGACTTTGTGATGTACCCCACCCCCCTCCCCTCCTTTTTTCTCTTCTGTACCCCACATCCCAATACTTTATTGAAAAATAAAAACGTAAATATTAAAAAAAAAAAAAATAGAATACACTCCCTTTTACATTATTTTGTGCTGTACCAGAGGACCATAGCAAAGGACAGAGACGTGATGTCACGACAATAATACTTGCATGTCAGCTTTGGTAAGTAATCAGGAGGTATGAAAAAGCAGAAGGTGTGTGTAACACCGAAAAAACATGATGGTGTCTGCATTATAGAGGATGTAGATATTATCTTCCAAAACAGTAAAATACATCATTAATATTTACTAAATATTATGCTACTTATTAAGGTTTCTTAAAAGAAAGACACACTTCTCTAAAAAAAATTTTTTTTAAAATTACTTGATCCCTCTGTCACGATTCCGGTCTCTCGCGGCACCGTGCGATCACAGAAATTATGTATTCATCCCTAACTTCCTGGTGCCTTATATTGACATCATATATAATGTGGACCCCTCCCATAAGTCTCCTTTTATAGTGTCAGCCCATGTGTTGCTTTTTGATGATGTGTACAGGCTTGTAGCATCATGGTCCTCTGTGAACAATCACTATCCTGTATTGCAAGCATGTCAAACTCATGGCCCACAAAGACCATCTTTGCGGCCCAGTGAGCTGCGAGTACATGCTGGTGTTATAGCAGAGTAGGCACCCGTTTTCCCCACATTGCAGGTGCCTACTCTGCTAACACTTACCTGGCCAGCGAGGGAGCTCAGTGTTCCTGCTCCCTCGCGCGCCATCTGAAGTGAAGCTGGGCGCCGGAATATGACATCATATTCTGGCACCCAGCATCACTAAACCGCACGAGGGAGCAGTGAGGAGCAGGAAGGACCCCAGGGAGATGCCCCACATCGGCTCCATAAGGTAAGGAGCAATAAAAAAAAAAAAAGTATGTGTGTGTCTGTCAGTGAGTGTGTCTGTCAGTGAGTATGTGTGTCTGTCTGTCAGTGAGTATTTGTGGGAGTATCTGTATTTGTGGGAGTATTTGTGGGAGTATCTGTCTGTCAGTGAGTATGTGTCTGTCAGTGAGTATGTGTGTGTGTGTGTCTCTGTCAGCAAGAGTGTGTGACATGCTTGTTGTATAGGGTATATATACTTCCTGGTTGTGCCTGTTTCCTTGCCTTGTCGTGGTTCTTGTTACCTGAGGGTGTGTTTACTGTGCATTGGATTTCCTGTTATCTGACCTTGGCTTGTTTAACTATTCTTGCTCTCTGTTATCCTGATCTTGGCCTGGCCATCGATTCCATGTATTTCTGTAATCCTGACCTCTGCTTGTTTCTCATTTATTCTCTGTCTGCTTGCAGACATTTCATATATCTGATTTAGGCACTAACCTGTCCACTCTAAGGACTGGTACATGTACCTTTACTGTTTCCTTTAGGTTTGCGTGTTAGGGTAACTCTATTCCTGACACCCTCTCTACGATATGATATTATGGGTTTGTGTGTGTGTGTGTGTGTTTTAAAGCTGCAGTCCTGTATTTGTGGGAGGAGTTTGGCCTATATAAACCCTATCCCCCCTCTTACCTGGGCCGCTCTGTCTCAGGTCATCTTGGTTACCTGTACTTCCGGTTCTCAACTTCTTCGATTCCTTCCAGCCTTTCTGCTTGCTGGGTCTTCCTGTGATCTTCTCCAGCTCCAGTCCTCCTCGCTGCCACACAAAGCTTCTCCCAGCTACGAACGTCGCAGCCAGCACGTCACACGTGGGAATAGTCGCGTTTGTACTATTCTCACAACTCTGGGATAGACTCCCTTTATCATGTTCGGTTATTGATGCATTCCCGCGTTTTGCCCCCCCATTTCTGCTTGCATACACACTGTCTGGCCAAAAAAAAGTTGCCACCTGGATTTAACTAAGCAAATAGGTAAGAGCCTCCAATTGGATAGTTACTGCATGGGCGATTATCTTTCAGCTGGCAACAAGTTATTTAACCCCAACTGATGCAATGAGTAGCTTCTCATTTCTTAAACAACCATGTTGAAAGACACATCCCGTGGTCGTGGAAAAGATGTTAGTCTGTTTGAGAAGGGTCAAATCATTGGCATGCATCAAGCAGAGAAAACATCTAAGGAGATTGCAGAAACTACTAAAATTGGGTTAAGAACGGTCCAACGCATTATTAAAAACAAAAAGAATAGTGGGGAGCCACCAGTGATGGGCGCATCAGGTTAAGAAGAGAGGCAGATGAAGTGATGCACTCATAATGCCTAGTGCGTACTGTACAAGCCTGTCGGGGCAGTGCTATGATTTGGGGTTGCTGCAGTTGGTCAGGTCTAGGTTCAGCAACATTATGTGCCCAAAAAACTGAGGTCAGCTGACTACTTGATTATACTAAATGACCAGGTTATTCCATCAATGGATTTTTTCTTCCCTGATGGCACGGACATATTCCAAGATGACAATGCCAGGATTCATTGGGCTCAAATTGTGAGAGTGGTTCAGGAAGCATGAGACATCATTTTCACACATGGATTGGCCACCACAGAGTCCAGACCTTAACCCCATTGAGAATCCCATTGGGATGTGCTGGAGAATGCTTTGAGCAGTGGTCCGACTCTCCCATCATCCATACAAAATCTCGGTGAAAAATGAATGCAACATTGGATGGAAATAGATCTTGTGACATGGCAGAAGCTTATTGAAACAATGCCACAGCGAATGCATGCCATAATCAAAGCTAAAGGTGGTCTGAAATATTAGAGTGTGTGACTTATTTTGGCTAGGCAGTGTATATATACTATTGTAGGTGCTCACCTTCAGTTCAGGGGGGACTTTCATGGGTTTGTAGGCGTTTGTGTCCTTTGGATACATTTTGTTCCTATTCAGGCTGTCTAGTACATGGGCTACTAGATTGGTTCTATACTTTCGGTAGTTTGTAAATGTCTATATTATCCATGTATGGCTAATGTAGTGTATATTAGTTTCCCTGCAGTATATTAGCTATTTAAAGGGTTTATCTGCTAAACTAGGCTTTCATTTCTGGTCCATTTGTTCTATCAGGTTTTATTAATTTGGGGGTTAATACTATCCACTATATATATGTACAGCACTGGGGGCTGGACGTTATCTGAAACTGCTCCTGTCACTCATGGTTCATCTGTGGCTGATCACTGATTAGCCACTGCCTTTCCCTGAGTGCAGTGTCAGTTCACTGTCTCTGGTTCACGTATTGCTGTTTCGTGTTCTGTTGATTCCGGACCTTGGCTTGTTATTTCGTGTACCCTGACTTCTTGCATCCTCTGACCTTGGCTCTCTACTGGTTTATCCTGATTTCTGGCACCCACTGACCTTTGGCTTACCAACGACGATTCTCCTGTTTATGTCCGTATCTGCACTGCGACTTGGAGCATCATCCTGCACAGCCCCCGTGCACCTTGGCCTGTGTTTACTTGCAAGGGTGAGCACATATATCTGCGCTACAGACTCCAACTCAGGTAAGCCCTGATACATGTCTAGCATCACGTATAGACCAAATTAGTTGGTTCAAATTTTGAAAAGCATGTTCAAATTTCTATTAATTGGTACTGGTTAATTTTTAATTAAGCTTCGGTACGAACACTTTTTTTTTTTTTACACATTATTGTCATCCTTCCCAGTTGTTGGCTTATTTAGCCCCTCACT